TTACTTGTGATCATGAAATTGAAAGTTAAAAGCGAGTACGCATTCAAAGGTGATATCAATACACCGCATATCGATAGCGCCTCCCTGATGACTGAAAATTATATACAATATAAATTCTAAAAAAAAATAACTAAAAAAGTTGTATTAATTTCTGAAAATGATCATGAAAAACAAAATGGGTAAATCAAACTCTTGTTGGTCCCAGAGCTCATTTTCTGTAATTATCTAAAAGCCAATGGAAAAATCATATTAGTTTTTTGCCAAGGGAACCAGGTTGATTGTAACTTCCGGGCAGGCCTATAAAAATACGTCATCACTGGAGCGCTTTTTAGCTTATAGGACCACACACACACACACACATTAATACACAGATATTTTAGAAAATCGCTGAAAGAACACTATTACCATGTACTTTTCTTTTTGGTCTTTGGTCAGGCCAGAATCCCTCCTCTTCCTAATCTCCATGACCTTCTCTTTATATCGAACCTGTCTTGGAGTTGGAGCCTGTAGAAGAGCAATGCAAATTAATTACATCACACTTTTACTAAAAGGTACTTTGTGTCTCATCCACATAAAGCTCTTCATGCATAGCTCATCAGTCATAACTTCACTGTGGTTACCACAGAATTTATGGCTTGCAAACAATCACATCTCATCTTAAAAATGGAAGGCAACATGCTGCTGACGTTAGGACTTCACGCAAGTGTCTCTTTTTTGTACAAAAGCATGCATGCACTTAAGAGGCATTAACACGCTGGTGTGATGTTTGTTTAGTGTTGAGTGAACATCTGTTTGCTGAGAACCTGATGTCGAGTAGCGTGTCTGTTCTCCTCGTTCTGCCCCTGACTGCGCTCTTCCTCTTGTTTCTCACGTTCAATGGCTTTCACCTGATCGAAATGAAAAGCACACAAAGATAAACAACAGAAAAAGTGTTAAACAATTTAGAAAAAGGATAAAGCACACACGCTTACAATAAATTATCATTGCAATTTAGCAGTCAACCAAAACTATTTTTCCCCTGAAGATCATACCTCATTCTATCCAAGAAAGTGACCAAAAGATACAATTTAATAATAGCAAATAACAAAGTATATTTTGGACTAAACACACCTTGCACTCATCTGCTGACAAGTTATGGTAGAGAGGGCAGCCTGATATGGAGAAATGTCGCTCATGTTTCCCTGTTAAATGTCCTGTATAAAAGAAATAAAAAAAAAAAAAAATGTACAGATAAATTTTTTTATAATTTGACTATAAACAATCCAGTGAAATGTAAATGTTTTAAAACACTGGAAACATTGTTATTTATTTTTTTGCAAGTAAGCCCTTGTAAACCATTAGCTCTGAATTTGATTATTAAACAAATGCAAAAGGAAATTAATTTGAAGAGCAATTACCCAGAGAATTGCACCCAGGTGTGGGGCACTTCATATTAAAGTTGTAGCTCTCATGAAAGCGGCGGCGTTTTGGACGATGAGAGGGATCGCTGCCAGAGTCTTTCTGGTCTTTAGTCACGCTCTCATCATGGGATGCATTGGGGCTGGATATGTCGATGTCTGATTCGGATGAGGGTGCATTTCCTGTGGGCGTCCTGGGGGGAGACTCGTCTCTCTCTGCTGCTTGCTTCACATCCGGAGGAACATCTAGATCAGGAACAGAATTAACTCCTTACAAAAATATGTATAGGTAATACATATAATACATAAAGATTTGCAGCAGGGAATAACAAAAACAGTAACTTTTAATAATTATAATAAAATATATTTAGAAGAAAAATGTCCTTGAAGAATATAGTGTCATCCATCTAACACTTAGTTTGTGCTTTTTCTTCATTTTTTTTTTTTTCACCTATGACGGTGATTTGAGTGGTCCCTTTTATGATAATTTGATTTAATTTCTTATTCAAAAGAAAATTGAAAAGCTGTCTGCAATTTATATTGTGATGTTAATATTTATTTTGGGGAATAAATTACAGGATTTCGGATTAATTGAAGAATAATCAAGCAGCTTTTCTGTTGATCAACACAGCGAATCCAAATGCAAATTTTCAGATTATGTGGATTCCAAGTGAAATGCCTGAATTTCCCAGGCAAAAATTTACCAAACAACACTAGTACTTTTTAAAGACACTAACAATCCATTTGTAATTACATCTATTAATTAAACACATACAGTACGTATATCCTAAGTAACTCAAACTGTGTTCACACTTAGTACGTAGTTACACACGTAGTTTGGTTATCTTGGTTCTTTTGATCCGGACCAAAAAAGAAAAGGATGCATTTAGTCCAGGGTTTGCTTACCATTCACACTGTAATATTTGATACCGAACCAAAAGATACAAAACAAAGAAACTGCTTTTATGGCACGAAACATACAGAACATAAAGGAACGCAATGACACTGTGTGCTAAATGCACCCGTTGTATGCGCGTACATATGGTGGTATTTTTACCAACTGAGAACTCACAACAAGCTTAGAAAATGTGTAAAAGAGTCAAAACAGTATCAGGAATTGCTGTCACACACAAATGAAGATCTGCAACAAGATGACGCAGTTCCAACACCTATTTCAAACTGTAATGAGCAACTCTGCTATGATGATGAGGAAAAAAACAGGTATCTTTGAGTACTTTATTTTTTAGGGTTGCATCTTGAGACATCACATCCTATTTTTGGTTTGTTTGGTCCATGGTGCTTTTTTATTTCAGCCCAACCACACCAGAATCCATTTGTTGGATGCGCACCATGTTCGCACTTAAGTTTGACAGCCCATAAACTGGGTCATACTGTATGAGGCACCAATGTATCATCAGCTGTGTGTATATACCTTGAGAGCTCTGGCTCAGGCGCAGTGATGCTCGGGTCAGACGGGTGTTATTGCGCTGATTGGCTTCACTATGAGAGCTGTCGGTCTTCTCATGATCTCCGGAGTCATCAGAATCTGCAGTCCCGTCTGAACTACTGCCTGCTGTTCTCTGCAAACATGGTGTCAACACAGTTGAATCGATATGCACGTGTAAACAGGTCAGAATAAAAATAATAATTATAGATACCAACAACACACTCACACATATAGATATAGCACTAAAGTCAAACGGAAACATTTTACTATAAGCTATTGAGTCAGGATTGTGTTTAAAGCCAAATTGCTAACTAGCTTCATTAACAGTTCAAAACACACCATTTCGGCGGCACTTAAGATAAAATGTTAGCTGCTAATAATAGCGTTGCCAAAAAAATTAAATAAAGTACTTGAAAACACACTAATTTTGTCCGAGAATGTAAATAAACATTGAGCTAGCATTTAGCCCGCGCTGAGGCGAATGGGCAATTCTCGAATTTTCTCTCACCTTTCTCCGCGGCATGTTGCGTCTAATAAATCCAAACGCTGTACTTTTTACAGGGTTGTTAAACGGGTATATTTACTCTGTGCTATCTGATATAATACAACAGCAATGTGTTCATAAGTTCGTGTGTTTCTGTTCTCGCCAATTGTTCAGCCTCTCGCGACTCGCGCCACACAGGATCATGGCGGAAGTGACGTAAAACGAAAAAGATCAACATGGCGACGCTGAAGCGCCGACCAATTACATAAAAAAAAGAAAAAAGAAAAGAACCGCCGACCAGTGAGAGGAATGTCAAATATATTTTTTATTTTTTAACAAATTGGTGCAGATAACAAAAGCTACGATATGTTTTTCTTTTATATAATAATTCTAATTATGTTCATTTTGATTGTATTTTATTATAGCGTTGACTTCTATGAAAATTTAATCCCTCTTTATCTACATTTAGGAATAATGTCAAAATAACATTCTTAAATTAATCAATAGCTCTGTGGAAAAAGTACAGGAACACTGTTTTGAAAAGAGCAGCTTCTCTGACTCACTAATTTAATGTATAGTTAGAGTAGTAGCCTAGTAGTCAATATATTTTATTTAATAAATAATAAATGATTGACATGCTGCTGATATATATATATATATATATCAGGGCTCGAAGGGACAAGGAAAAGATCATTTTACTTGCCCAACCGGACAAGTAGCCTGATTAGAACAATAATAGAAAATTAGAAGAAAAAAAAATAGTAACAGGACTGAAAGTAACAGGATTGAGTTTTTAAGCAAAAAGTTTAGATACATGGCATATGGCCACATATTATAGATGCTGATAGCATGAGGACACTGAGCCATTTCTAGTGCCTTACCAAAAATTTTTGAATAAAAAAAAATAATAATCAAAGAAAAAGTTTAGGAAACAGGACCATGTGTTGAGATTGACCTTCAGTCATACAATTTCATCAAATATACATCAATTAAAATGACTTACTTTTTGTCACCCCATTGCCTTCAAGATTCAGATGATGCAATTTACTGTTAAAAATATGTCTTGTGGAATATTCCATGTTTTTCAGAGTGGGGATGTAAGGGTATAACAGGACTGAGTGAAAATATGGGGATATGACAAAAATGTGTATTTTATCTAAAATATTAGATCTTTTTTTCCAGTTTAAAGCAGATTGGATATAAAGTCATATAACAATGCAAAAAAAAAAAAAATCAGATTTCTGAAGGATTTTAATCATTAGATTTATGGTAAAGTTCAGAGATAGAGAGTGGGGACATGCGAGTAGTTTACATAGAGACGATAACAGTATTGTTTTCAAAAACTAGCACTTTGAAACCTGTTTTCAAAAGTTTGTGTTTTTGGGTCCCCGAAAAGGCTATTGTTAATGTAAATGAACAACAACAATTTTTTTTTATTTTTTTTTTTTAGTTGAAAACAGCTCTTAAGCTACTGTGATGTTAATCAGACTCAAATAAACAGCGGTTTAGGTTTGCATGTTGCTCTGGCAGATTCTCACCCGGGGAAGGGTTAGTGTGAATGGAGTATTAATGTCTGGGTGAGGGTAGAAGCGTCAGTGATTTTCTCGAGTGTTCCACCACCTCCTTTAAATGGGATGAGCAACGGGGGGTTGGGATGAAGTGGTATGTTCCTCTCCCAGCAGCTGAGACCATCCATCCTAAAAATAGAGTCAATCACTCAGCCAGCGAGCCACAGACAGAACTCTCTCTCTAGTCAAGTCTTTTCTACACATATAAGGAAAATCAGTCAAAACATTTACACAAACTACGTCAAATCTACGAGATGCCAAAGATTGTGAGACCAGAGAACTGGTAGGTGTGAACATGGATGTTTATTTGAAATGGTAGAAGCCGCACGCTCATGTCTTCTATGAAGGGTACATGTGATTTTCACAATGAAGTCTGAACTTAGACTTAAAATGGCTTCATCATGTTAGATCAGAAAGTTCTGATTTTAAAGAGTAACCAAATGAGAAATACTTTGCTTAAATTGGTTCTTTTCATTTCTTTAGTCAACCAGCCAGAACACTGTGGTATGACCGGAAAAAGTACATCACTATCAACTTTTCGGTTCAAAACCCAAAAGATGTTCAGGTAGATATTCAGGACACAAAAATTACTATGAGGTAAGAGAATGATCTTATTTATAATATCTATTATATATCAAATATTTATGGTTGTTTTTGAGTTTCTCAGTTTTTCTCAGTAATATCCCATAGGAAATTCGGACTGAAATGATTCTCATTTAAAAAACTTCCTGGCACATAATGTATTTCACTATTTAAAAGTAAGAAAATGTATAAATAATAATAATAATATTTCACTTGTTTTTCAGATGTAAAGATGTGGATGACAATGATATCTACAATGAGATTGAATTTTATGAACGCGTATTAAAAGCTGTAAGTAGTTTACCATCCTTTTCTGTGATATAATGAATGTGTAAATGAAATTTCATCCATTACAACCATTCTGTGGCTTTCCCAAACCACTTTGTGGATGATGCCCTTTTTAGGATTCACAGGAGAAGGTCTTTGACCGGACAATTCATATATTAATAAGGAAAAGAAAGGAAAATGTGGCATGGCCTCGACTCCAGAAAGATCTAGCAAAGGTATCTATCTATCTAGTCTGTCATTCTGTCTGTCGTTCTGTCTATCTATCGATCTCTGTCTGTGTGTCTGTCTGTCTGTCTATCTATTCATCTATGTCTGTCTATATCTATCTATCCAGTCTGTGATTCTGTCTGTCGTTCTGTCTATTGATCTCTGTCTGTATGTCTGTCTACTCATCTATGTCTATCTATTCATCTATGTCTGTCTATCTATCTATCTATCTATCTATCTATCTATCTATCTATCTATCTATCTATCTATCTATCTATCTATCTATCTATCTATCTATCTATCTATAGTCTGTGATTCTGTCTGTCGTTCTGTCTATCTATCGATCTCTGTCTGTCTGTCTGTCTATTCATCTGTCTATCTATCTATTCATTTATGTCTGTCGTTCTGTCTGTCGTTCTATCTATCTATCTATCTATCTATCTCTATCTATCTATCTATCTATCTATCTATCTATCTATCTATCTATCTATCTATCTATCTATCTATCTATCTATCTATCTATCTATCTATCTATATAGTCTGTCATTCTGTCTATCTATCTATCTATCTATCTATCTATCTATCTATCTATCTATCTATCTATCTATCTATCTATCTATCTATCTATCTATCTATCCATCTATCCATCTATCTATCTATCTATCTATCTATCTATCTATCTATCTATCTATCTATCTATCTATCTATCTATCTATCTATCTATCTAGTCTGTCATTCTGTCTATCTATCCATTCATCTGTCTATCTATCTATCTATCTATCTATCTATCTATCTATCTATCTATCTATCTATCTATCTATCTATCTATCTATCTATCTATCTATCTATCTATCTATCTATCTATCTATCTATCTATCTATCTATCTCTTGTTCTGTCTGTCTGTCTATATGTATCTCTGTCTGCCTGTCTATCTGTCTATTTATCTATCTCTGTCTGTCTGTCTATCTCTGTATTTCTGTCTGTCTGTCTGTCTGTCTGTCTGTCTATCTAACTATCCGTCAGTCTGTCGTTCTGTATTTTAATCCATCTATCTATTGCATTCCTCTGAGTTTTCTTCCGTTGCTCTTTCAGCCAGCATGGCTGTTAGTAGACTTTGATAACTGGAGGGACTGGGAAAACGAGGAAGAAGATGGCATGGCAGAATATGAGCAATATGTAGATGTAAGTCTCTTACTGTAATCTGGGTAATGCAACTATCATTCTAGATGAAGCTGTTATCATTTCACATATTGTCACGAAGTTGTAGTGTGTTGAGATCATAATAAATTCCTACATTTGAAATGCAATGACTCTTCTGTAATGCAGATGCTTAATGACATGAAGAACAAAGGAGAGCCACCTGCCATGGATGATCTGGATGATCTCGTAAGTGCCAGAAACTGTATCAAATGGTTACACAGTCTTTAATCATTTCATTTCAGTTTTGAGGTCATCACAACACTTTTTTTTCTACACAGAGTGACTGAGTGGAACAGCGTTGTCCAAGATGAATCTACACAGTTCAGTTTTTCAAAATGTGAATGCAGTAAAAGTCTATTCACATTGCCAAAAATAAACTTGCAATAGATTTTTTTTTTTTTTGGATCAGTACATTAACCCTGGCATTGTGAACTAGACTTATGTAATATAACTGTGACATGTTTACCTTTGATTTTCTTGAATTCCTTGCAAAATCATTGTTGCTTTGTGTGAAACAAAATAGATGTGTATTTATTTTCTATTTGTGTTGTTATATAACTGAGGAAATAGATTGTGTATTCACAAACTATAACGTTTGTTTTCTACATTAAAGACTTTATGCTTTAGTATTTTTTGTGAACAATTGCTTTTTATTGAATAATTGTTCAATATAAAAATGATACAAAATAGCGGTGGTTGTTGAAGGCAGAAGACGAAGATCCGGGTTAAACACAAACTTTACTTGATGTGCAGGCAGGACATACACAACCACATTAACAAGAGCCGAAAAGGGACTGAACAAAAGTATACACAGGAGGAAATGAGGTAAACTGATCAGGGACCAACGAGAACAGGTGCAGAATATACAGAACATAATTGTGACAACGTTACAATAAAATATGCATCCCCACCCCCCAGATAGACTTATTAATCATAAGAGAGAGAGCCTATAAGTCCCTCCCCTTCCGGTCGACCTTATTTTGGAAAAATATTGAATATGATGTTTTTAAATTTAAAAGATAAATTTTAAAGTAAAGAAAGTCGCAGTTTGATGTAAAACCGTTGAGATATAAGACGTGGAAATACGTACAAAGACTATACAAACCCCAAAGGCGCACATTTTCTCTCAATGAATGAAAGCTAACTTTACTGAGGCTATTGTCTGTCATTGTTTCAATAGTCTTACGTTATGATCGTAACCTTAAGCCGTCATACCTGAGTGTTTTGTACCAGACTGCACACACACGAGCAGCGGATCTCACTTCCCGGGAGATGTAGTTCATAGAGCGATTTTCACATAAAACTAAATGTTACTCTTCTGTTTTATGACAAACTGCGACATTTTTGACTTTCAGAATTATCTTTTAAATTGAAAAACATCATATATGTAATTGAGGGCACAGTTCAGACGGAATAAAAAGATAAGTTGTCTCTTAGGCTACCATTCATATTTTTGGTCTCATGAGCTGGAAGCGGAGGGGCGGGACTTAGGCAGTTCTGCAGAATTGAAATACATTGCAGAGGAGAATGCAAAAAAACCAAAATAAAATAATTAATCAGCAGATAAATAAAAAAATACACTCAAAAAATGCTGGGTTGTTTCAACCCAAATTTGGGTCAAATATGGACATCCCAATGGGATCACACCTCAGTCCAGTTGATGGCGGTAATGCACAACGATTGCAAGCCGCCAAATAAAATCTACCGAAGAAGAAGAAGAAGAACTGTTGTGTTTATGTTGTAGTTTGATGAATTTTGTGTATTGTGATCCGTTCAAACTCCGAATGGAACAACTTCTCAGTGAGTTCGTCTGATGGATAAATATTTTTTTTCGTCACAATGTGATAATAGTAAATGTAGAATGGTGTAAATGATCTTTATATAATCTGTATTTCTGATGGTACCGGTTGGTATTGTTATACAGATAATTTTTATATTGTTCTTTTTAAACGATGAATATCTGCAATGTACTAGCCGCCCGTCGAAATGGCATTGTTAAAATTCAAAGGAGACCTAACGTTAGTTTCAAATACTGGTGACTAACGTTAAACAAACGGTTGCACCCCCAAAATGTATTTACTTATTTATTTGTTATAGGCACAAAACGCGTTTCCACTGTCATTGTGTAAAACTGTGTTTCTTATTGCAGAGCATGTTGGTTAAGGTGAAACTTGGGGATGGCCAAAAATTTGTTAAAATATACGAGCTGAGCCTGAAGGAATTTTTGTCTGCTGGTAAGAAAAAATATATACTTTTTATAGCGATAAATCGTTTAAGTATCATGTTATTGATTCAAATGTGCGTTTTTTTTATTCTGCTGACCCCGAGCAGCTGTGTGAAACATTCAGTCTTGTCAAACACGCATCCATCGAATCCTTGTTTCTGTGTTGCAGATATTAAAATGAATCACTGAAGTACTGGGATAAACGTTTAATGTATTGATTGGTATAAACATCGAGCAAATCACCTTTTTTACACTTTAAAATAAAATTGTAGGCTACCAGTTACACCGTTATGCCAAAAGGTGACGCCAAGAGACTGGAATTATGGATTTGTTCTTGAATCATTAATTCCAAAGATTAGTCTGATTCATTAGCAATGAAACATTTGAACTATTCAGTGTTTTCAACCACATAATGTTTATTTTTAGATTTCAGACATTTAAATAGACATAAGTATTAGCAAAAAAAAAACATATTTTGAGTTTGTAAAATACACAATGTCTATGGAAGCGGCAATAATCCTTTCCATTATGACATGTTTTATTCATATAAGATACACATTGTATAAGTAGCTTTATATTTTACCCTATTCTTCTCCCAGTTCACCGGCCATTTTCATGAATTTTGATAGGTGCATCTCTTATTGGTTGGTATTTGGTAATTGTATTTTATAATACTGTCACATCTTACATTTGCTCTGAAGTTCAGAGTTACCAACAAGTAACTGATCAACCTTGCAATGTATACCCTTTCTCATTAATTGGCATACTTTTCCCCCCCAGCTTTTTTAAAGTTTGGTGTCCCAACTGTACCCAAGAATGTGAAGGTTGTTGATGAATCGGGGACTGAGGTGGATGAGGATGTTTTTGAGGAAGTAGTTAAAGATCCCTCAGTTGGTGTTCTCACCATAAAATATGCAGGTGTGTATGTTTTTATTTACTTGATTGCTTATTATTAGTATCATGAGGACTTTTACCACCCTATATTCAACTAGACTTAGAATCTGCCTCTCCACAAGCCTCTCCTGTGCAGTTAAATGTGTCCCTGTCTTCATCGATTGACTCCACTGAGGATACTGCAATTATTGAAGAAAGCCCTTCAAGTAAAAGAATTAGACTAGATGATGAAGCTAAAAAGGTGGGCATCAAAGTTGAAAAATTCATCAATCTGAAATAATAGCCTTTCTTTTTATTTTTACATATTTTGTACTATAACATGCCATATTTATGCCTTTTTTAAGTTGGTGGAATCCATTCTTGTCCATAAACCTGGTGGGGAGCATATAATAAATGAATACAACCGATTTAAAACTTTGGGAGATGAAACGAGGAGGAAAATGGTGAATATCCTGGCAGCTGACATGACAGAAAAGAATGGGTAATCTGCATATCTTATCTCTCAATGTAGTTCTGTAATTTCTTGTTTATTTTTAACCTGTGCTAAAGATTGGTGATTTTATTTATTTATTTATTTATTATACAGTACATCACCATCAAGGCAGGTTAAAGAAAAATATGCCAGAGGAATTGTGTCTTTGTTCCCTTACCTCAGTGACCCCTTGTCCAAAAAAGGCTACGTAAGAATCACCATTTTGTTATTATTTTAATTCATGTGTTGACATGTTAAATGCTGATGATCACACACACACACACAATACAGGTGGTGTATTTTGCTCTTTTTTTGTCTTTCTAAGGAACATTACTATGATGGTGAGAGTGGCACTGGGTACTTGGCATGGAGAATCAAAACTATACAAAGAGGCCGGGCTAAAGAACGAAGAGCATCATTTGATGGTAGAGAATGAAATTCAGAAATCACCTTTTTTTCATAGCTCATTGTGCCATCTATCACAGTTTTGTTGCTATTGAGTTGCCATAACTGACATTTTAAAGATGGTCTCTTTTCCATTTTTTATTTTTTTAGTATGAACTGTATATAGTTATCATCTTTATGCAGTGTTGATGGTTCTCAAATGCTTAATTCATCAGGACAAGGATTGTCTGCTGAGGGGATGTCTGTTGGACCAACTGTAAAACAGGAGGAAGAGTTTACTCCGGAGACTGTCTTGAGTGAGGATGAGTGCAAGGATGCAATTGCATTCATGAACCATTCTGCTGATGTTCTCACCATAAAACTTGATGCAGGTTTGTATGTTTTTAATTACTTTCTATCAATTTTCTCAGTGCTTGCTTATTAGTATCATGTCATGATGAAGACTTTTACCACCCTATATTCAACTAGACATGGAATCTGCCTCTTCACAAGCCTCTCCTGTGCAGTTAAATGTGTACATGTCTTCATCGATTGACTCCACTGAGGATACTGCAATTATTGAAGAAAGCTCTTCAAGTAAAAGAATTAGACTAGATGATGAAGCTAAAAAGGTGGGCATCAAAGTTGAAAAAATCATCAATCTGAAATAATAGCCTTTTTATTTTTACATATTTTGTACTTTAACATGCCATATTTATGTCTTTTTTTAAGTTGGTGGAATCCATTCTTCTCCATAAACCTGGTGGGGAGCATATAATAAATGAATACAACCGTTTTAAGACTTTGGGAGATGAAACGAGGAGGAAAATGGTGAAGATCCTGGCAGCTGACATGACAGAAAAGAATGGGTAATCTGCATATCTTTAACTGGTGTTTATATAATCTCTCAATGTAGTTCCATAATTTCTTGTTGTTGTTGTTTTTTTAACCTGTGCTAAAGATTGGTGATTTTATTTATTTATGTATTATTATACAGTACATCACCATCAAGGCAGGTTAAAGAAAAATATGCCAGAGGAATTGTGTCTTTGTTCCCTTACCTCAGTGACCCCTTGTCCAAAAAAGGCTACGTAAGAATCATCATTCTGTTATTATTTTAATTCATGTGTTGACATGTTAAATGCTGATGATCAGACACACAATACAGGTGGTGTATTTTGCTCTTTTTGTGTGTGTTTCTAAGGAGCATTACTATGATGGTGAGAATGGCACTGGGTACTTGGCATGGAGAATCAAAACTATACAAAGAGGCCGGGCTAAAGAACGAAGAGCATCATTTGATGGTACAGAACGAAATTCAGAAATCACCTTTTTTTTATAGCTCATTGTGCCATCTATCACAGTTTTGCAGTTTTGTTGCTATAGGCTATGTGCACAAGCGTAGTTTCGAACTTCCGCTTTGTCAGAAGTTGGCATTTCAGTTTCCGGTCTACGACTGTTCACCCGCATCCACTAATAAACAAACAAGATGAGTGCTGCTGTTGTACGAAAAAAAAGAGTTCTTAAATATATCTAAGTTTCTAAGAACTGTAGGTGGATCTAATCTAACGTCCGTTTCACTCCCGTTTGCAGTGTGTGTTGCGTTGCAGGAGTGTGCTGTTAGTGCATTCACATAATGATGCATTTGCAGTGAATAACTGATCCGCGGCTGTAAGTTACCACAAACACATACTTATTTTTTTTATTTTTATTTTTATTTTTTGCGCATCTCCCAAAATGTTTATTTTGTGCAGCCACTGCGCACGAAGGTTGGTGTTTATCAGGAGGCAGTGGAAGCTCAAATGGCTGTTAGCGACTTGAAGCAGAGCAAAGTGCTACACAGCTGTCTCCTAACGCACCATGTAAACAGGTTAGGGCTTTCACTTTTCACTGGTGTGGTACATATAACAGCAGCACAGCGATCGTTTCCACGCCGAGTCTATTTCTCGTGTGCTGCAAACGCTGGTAGTTAAAATGATTAAGATTGACCTGAAAATGTAGTACTTAATTTCACCATGAATGCGTTTAATTAAATATAATATAGTAATCTCACCATAAATGCACATTTAATTAAGAAAAACTACAATTTACTTCAACAAGGCGGCAGAATGAACAACACTCGTCTCAATCGTGGATTTGGAAAAAAAAGTTCTATGTGACATGCAAGATCTATTGTTTTAAAATTGAAGTCGGCTGCTTTTGTCAATTTCAAGTTTTAATTGAAATTATTTTCGATTTTAATACAGTAAATATTTAACCACTTGCTTGAGCAACTTATAAGTAATGCATGGAATAATAGCCCTAACGTTTTTTAAATTGTGTTTAAACGTGCATACAAAGAATCGTAATGCTGACACAACTTTTTGTTTTAAAAAATAAGTTGCAGCATAGCTTCTGGATTTTAAATAGGAATAAAAAGTATGTGTTTGTGGTACAGCCGTGAATTAGTTAATCAATGCAAACGCATCATGTGAAAGCACTAACAGCACACTCCTACACCGCAACCATAGACTGTAAAAAATACTGCAACACACACTGCAAACGGGTGTGAAACGGACGTTAGATCCACCTACAGTTCTTAGAAACTTAGATATGTTTAAGAACTCTTTTTTTTCGTACAACAGCAGCACTCGTCTTGTTTGTTTATTAGCGGATGCGGACGAACAGTCGTAGACCGGAAACTAATATGCCGACTTCTGACAAAAGCGGAAGTTCGTGACTACGCTTGTGCACATAGCCCATTGAGTTGCCATAACTGACATTTTAAAGATGGTCTCTTTTCCATTTTTTTTTTTTTTAGTATGAACTGTATATAGTTATCATCTTTATGCAGTGTTGATGGTTCTCAAATGCTTAATTCATCAGGACAAGGATTGTTTGCTGAGGGGATGTCTGGTGGACCAACTGTAAAACAGGAGGAAGAGTTTACTCCGGAGACTATCTTGAGTGAGGATGAGTGCAAGGAAGCAATTGCATTCAGGAACCATTCTGCTGATGTTCTCACCATAAAACATGGTGCAGGTTTGTATGTTTTTATTTACTTTCTATCAATTTTCTCAGTGCTTGCTTATAAGTATAATGAAGACTTTTACCACCCTATATTTAAATAGACATGGAATCTCCCTCTCCACAAGCCTCTCCTGTGCAGTTAAATGTGTCCCTGTATTCATCGATTGACTCCACTGACTCACAGGATACAGTTATTATTGAAGAAAGCTCTTCAAGTAAAAGAATTAGACTAGATGATGAAGCTAAAAAGGTGGGCATCAAAGTTGAAAAATTCATCGATCTGAAATAATAGCCTTTCTTTTTATTTTTTACATATTTTGTACTTTAACATGCCATATTTATGCCTTTTTTAAGTTGGTGGAATCCATTCTTGTCCATAAACCTGGTGGGGAGCATATAATAAATGAATACAACCGATTTAAGACTTTGGGAGATGAAATGAGGAGGAAAATGGTGAAGATCCTGGCAGCTGACATGACAGAAAAGAATGGGTAATCTGCATATCTTTAACTGGTGTTTATATAATCTCTCAATGTAGTTCCATAATTTCTTGTTTTTTTAACCTGTGCTAAAGATTGGTGATTTTATTTATTTATTTATTTATTATACAGTACATCACCATCAAGGCAGGTTAAAGAAAAATATGCCAGAGGAATTGTGTCTTTGTTCCCTTACCTCAGTGACCCCTTGTCCAAAAAAGGCTACGTAAGAATCATCATTCTGTTATTATTTTAATTCATGTGTTGACATGTTAAATGCTGATGATCAGACACACAATACAGGTGGTGTATTTTGCTCTTTTTATTTTCTTTTTTTTTTTTTTGTCTTTCTAAGGAGCATTTCTATGATAGTGAGAATGGCACTGGGTACTTGGCATGGAGAATCAAAACTATACAAAGAGGCCGGGCTAAAGAACGAAGAGCATCATTTGATGGTATAGAATGAAATTCAGAAATCACCTTTTTTCATAGCTCATTGTGCCATCTATCACAGTTTTGTTGCTATTGAGTTGCCATAACTGACATTTTACCTTTTTTTTATTTTTTAGTATGAACTGTATATACTTATCATCTTTATGCAGTGTTGAAGGTTCTAAAATGCTTAAAGGGAGTTTTACTGCTTTTTTTCTTTGCATGATTGTGTTTATGGGGTGCAATATAACATGTATTCGTGGTTTTTCTTGTTTTAAAAAGTCTTATTTTTCATAAACGTCACCTTTATTGTCAGCCGCGCTCTCCTCTGTCCTCGAACGAGCTGTTGACTTCCTGAATCTCTGAAAACACTCCCTCAGAAACAGGCAGTGGGCTCAGATTGATTAGTTTGGGCTGGTGTGTGGTGATTGGCTATACTGTCGCTCACGTTGTCCGGAAGGTTAACATCCATTACCTTTACGGGCGCAACGTGCATGCGCTGCAGTATCAGTTTGAGGCAGAATCGGACCGAGAAAAGCGGCGATGAAGAGAGTCAAGCAGAACCTCACCACACACGGCTCTTACTAAACGTTTCTGAATGATAATTTGCTAAATTTTTTAACTTTATACACGTTTGTTTTACACAATAGCGTCTGATTGGCAACAATAGCAACTGACTGGCTACTAATTTTATACTCAAACCGCGTTGGCATTCGTTTATGTTCTTGATCAAATCGAAAATAACGTCATAAAGCATATATACATGGAAAAATATATTTACAACATTAGTACTTATAGAAAATTCAGGTCCATAATGTTTGTACGCATTTGTCGTAGACACAAAATAGCATAACTTGTAGCCTAGTGGCTATAAAGGCAGCGCTGGCATTTGAAAAAAATAAAACAAGGCTACGTCTGGAATTATACATGCAAATACATTTAAAATGGTTAAGTCTTAGCCTACTTACAGGTTGTGGCCCAACAACTGCTGCCTCTGGTTTTAAAGTTGAAACTGCTTCATGTTTTAGTAACAGTTTCTTGTTGAATCCGGTGTTGAATTCGTGGAGATTCTGGAAGCTGTCTTCCGTAAAATGCGCAGCACAGAGAGCTAGATTACGATCGTCATTTTCAGGAACATAATCAAACATAAATTGTATCCATTGTCGACGAAGTACAGCGTCCGTGGGAAGCTCGAACACAGAAGACCTGACAGCTGGATGAACACAACACACTCGACGAGCCGCAGAAATATGGCAATGCCCGTTTTTGCATATTCTTGAGGGAGGGTTGATGTAAATGTATGGGTTAGTGACGTCTAAAACCCAGCTGTAGTCCCATTTGAGTAGTCTTTGTAGGCATTAAACTTCCTGATTTTTAAAAGACGATATCTCTGCTTACACTGCAACCAACAGCAACATTACACACTATTTAAAATCAAAAAAGTGAAATCGCAATCAACCCCCCCCCCCTGATTTAATTAATCAGGACAAAGATTGCCTGCTGAGGGGATGTCTGGTGGACCAACTGCAAGACGGGAGGCAGAGTTTACTCCGGAGACTGTCTTGAGTGAGGATGAGTGCAAGGAAGCAATTGCATTCATGAACCATTCTGCTAATGAGGACGCAGTCAAGAAGAATATGAAATTGACATTTGACTATCGCCGTGACATGGTTCTTGACCCTATGCTGTCAAGTGATGTATTGACAGTCTTTCCACGTTTCAAAGACGTTAAAGGCTTGGTAAGTAAAGTCTTTATAATCCAAGATTTTAGGATTTTTAAAAATGCTTAACTGTTTTCTGAAAATTAGTTTGTTCAGGGTTTATATCTAATAGTGATTCCCCTCCTTAGATTGAGCAAGACTTTGTTCTGATGTTTGGAGAAGGAATGTCAGGCAAGCTACTGGAGAAGTGGACTACTGCATTCAAGAAAAAAGTAATTCAGCAGTGCAAAAAGCTTCCAACCACCAGTTATGTCGGAGAACTCCTGCTAGCAGCTGAATCTCCGTCTGATGACTCAGAAGATTGTGTTAATTTTGGTAAGATGTTTAAAATAATTTAATACTTAGGTATTTTTTGTAATATTCATTAAAACACTAGCCTGACTTTGTCATACTCATATTGTAGTCAGAAATGTGAGTCTGAAACTGTTCCATAGGGCTTTGATTATGAGGCATGTCTTAACTGAACCAGGAAAAAAAAAAAAAACTCTGCACTCAATTGGCTAGTCGGTAGACCTACAACCAATCTTACTTATTTTTACTTATCTTCCAACTTACTTATTTTAGAAGTAAAATAACAAATGTTGCTTCTTTTACTTGGTCCTTCATGAGTGCGACCAAAGGAGAATCCACAACGACCACAGGCTTTTCATTACGTCCCATCTTCTTAGTGACCATCAGAGCCAGCTGATAAGTTACTCTTTTGCCGAATCATGTAGGAAGGACGCCAAAAATATCTTTCCGATCGACAAATGCCTTGAATGCGGTTTTCTGTTTGTCTATTAAAATGAATGCACTGTCGATTTATTTCACAACAGACGCGACAGCGGAATCTATACATCTCAATTCTCCAGCTGCAGTCATCTTTGAGGGAAACCAGTTAGCGCTCTTTGATAACGTGATGATTACGTCCCTGCAGATCATCTGTCCATCAACGTATAAAGCCCGCCCTGGCAATTTGATTGGCCCGATCATTTTTGACTGATCATAGTTTCTCCTCAGTGGATTCAGTCCAGACCAAACTTCCCGACCAAAAAATGTTGTGGGCAGAGTTCGGGCTGGCATCCAGGCTATTAAAACACTACCTGGCCCCCAAAAAAGTCGCTGTTTGGATTTAAATAGTCCAATGCTTAAGAATATGATTGGATCATCATTGCACTGATTATTTTTCAATCATGTTATATGTTTGGGAACAGTTATTTTTAAACCATTGCTGTTTTCAGCTTTTCATTTCTTAAACAACTATGAAGGCACTTCATGGCCATATTCCAGGATTGACAAATATGAAGATTCATCAGGCTCAATTTGCGAAAGAATAGTTGAGAAATTAGAATAGAATAGTTAGCCATGATATATCTTCCTACATAGTTGTTTAAGAAATGAAAAGCTACACACTCCATCAATTGTTTAAAAGAACTGTTCCCAAACACATAACATGATAGAAACATAATCACTGCAATGATGATCCAGTCATAGACTTTTTAAATCCAAACAGCAACTTTTTTTTTTTTTTTTGGCCAGGCTGTATATTTTGTATAGTTCCCATAAATGTTTTTAATATTTATTCTTCAGTATCAATTTTCAATATTGGTGAGGTTTTGCTAACATAATTAATTCTGTCTAAACAGTTTGGGACTCCGACCTCTCTTCTATAATACTGCTGCTGCATCTGATCCCACCTCCTGCCCAAGGCCGAAAGAGACCAGGAAAGGTGTCTGCTTCTCAAGCAGAGAAACATCTTGTTGTCTTCAAGAAGGTGTGTGTGTGTTTTTTTTGGGGTTTTTTTCATAGTTTCTTTTATTTAACACATCAGTGATGGTTCTCTTCAATTTGCTTGGTCTTCTCAGAGTGGAACAAACATTGAGGAGCATCTTCGAAACATCACTGCTAGTGCTCAGCCCTATCTCCTGGCTGTGGGACCTCAGAAGAAATCAGTTCACCAGTACTTTATCATCCTCGATCAGCATGCCATTCCATGCAAGTCAACCTCTTCTCTTGGTGCCTTTGATGAACTGTTTAAGGCACACTTTGTTTTTGGTACCTCCTACAACACCATGCTACACAACATGTACACTTTCATTCAGACCACTGTGTACAACATAGATGTTGGCAAAGTGAAAGAGAGTCCTCGTGTTGCTGAAATCAGAGCAAGGCTGCTTAGCTAGGTCCTTTAAGTTGTTCTGCCCCCATGAAGTGTTTTGTTTGTCAAGCTGATTCAAATGGTTCAAAAGAGCTTCTTATGCACCTCAGATTAGTTCATGGGTTTTGTTCCTGGGAAGAATCTTCACCTTAAATGCATAGAAGCAGATTGTGGTTCTGTGTTCGGTACTTTTTCAGGTTTTAGGAAACATCTGCACACAAAACATGCTGAGCAAAGTGACGGTGAGCAAAATATTGACACCACTGATAGCCATGAGACTGCCAAGGCAGATAGACAAAGTAGTTTTGGAGTATTTGATCAGATTGGCAGTGCTGGTGGCCACAACATCTGTATCAAATAAGAGCACTTTCAAGATATGTGCATCTGCTGTTACACAATTAAAAGTTGCTAGATTAGGTCATTCTGCTATAAATGGTTTTGTTTCATCTATGGAGGAAATGGTAACTGAGATTCATAGTCAGGCCCAGGATGCAGCCTTGCACTGCCTGCCTTCACAGGACACCACTACTAAAAGAAAGCTAGAACATTCATTTCAAAACTTGGAAAATCCATTTACTTTGTTAAATTCTGAAGCCAAGCGAAAGAGACTCTGTATGGAAAAGTGGGGAATTATTGAACCAAGCGAAATTGTGCTTGGCACAAGATTTGACAGGAGGAGAAATAAAACTACAGGAACATTTGATCAGGTTGTTGTAACTGATAAATTTGCTTATATTCCCATTTTAGAAACACTAAAGGCAATTTTACTTACTGATTTGTTTAAACCCAGGCATGTTCCAAAAGAAGGCATTTATGTTGACTTAAAGTGATGCAGCATATTTTAAAAGTAATCCTTTTTTTTCTACAGAAAAGGATGCCTTACAAATTCAGTTATTTTATGATGATTTTGAGACCGCTAATCCTTTGGGATCCAAAAGGGGCAAACACAAATTGGGCTTTTTTTTTAAAGACGCAATTAAAAAGTTTCAGAAACATCATCAAAACACTAGCCAAAAAGCACCAATTTTGTATTGCGACATACTTGGAGTCTTTTAGCCAGTACAGATTGTCTCTTGGCCCAGGAAAAATGGTAGAACTCTCTGAACTTAAATGTGGCCAAGAGATCGCCTCCAAACTAGGAGTGGGAATGTCACGGATAAGTGCGTTGAGTTCCGTCTTGGTGATTTGTTAAAAATATGCTGCAACCCTTTTCACTTCACCAGTCACCGAAGCATTTCACTGCCCATTGGGTTGATATGTGTGGTTGCTAAGAGTGTTGCTAAGGGCGCAGTGATAAATAGAACCGTTGGGTGAAGCGGTCCTTGCCGTGTTTTATCGTGAATAAAGCACAGCTCTTGACCAATCAGAATCAAGGATTGTTACTAACCGTTTTATAAAGTGGATCAAAACTGTATGTTTTGATGACCATTACCATGTATTTACAGTCAGACTGCATCCAGAGTTTTTAACGTAGTGAATATTAATGAGCTGTGTTCTGTCAAACCATTTGATCTCCAGATGAAATATGGTACAACAGATTCTGCACTGCATGTAGTTCCGTATTGCCATTTAAAGGTGCTCCATGCGTTTTTTAGCAGCCTCTAGCGGCGATGTTTCAGAATGCAACAAGAGTACTCGTGCACGTGCGTGCTCGATCTCAAGAGCGAGCATTCACTACCGGCCACATGGAGACTTTCAACGCAACGGCGAAAGCATCACACAACATGCTGGAAACTAATGTAAACTCCCACTGCAGTTACAATAATAGCCTACTTTCAGCTTGACGTTGAACTAATGCTCTGTGCTCGTACCATGATAATGTTACAATAAACTGCATTTAGCCGACATGTGATTGTTATATAGCATAAGCCATTTCACTTACTATTTGTGTAGTTTTCACAATCAGCAATGTCAACATAGGTGAATGTATAATATGATAATGAAAACGGTTGGTGAACTAAACCGAGCAATTTCAGTGTAACAGTGAGATCGTAGGAAGTAACATTACTCTACTGAACATGTCTGGAAATGTATATTATAGACAATATGGTAGTAGTGGGATGAGTGACGTTAGTCAGTAGATCTAGTAAATAAAAGTTACATCCTAAAGTACCTACTTTTTGTTATCCTGGAACATTCTTTTGTAATCATTTAATGTTTCGTTTAGTTTACCTTGCTATTTCACTAGAGTTTACTATGACTACGTTTATATGCAATTTTCGGGTTATGGTCGGGTTAAGGTCACTATTCGGGTTTCTGAAACATTAGGAATAACCCGTTTACATGCGTGAACAAAGAGAGTTTCTCCTGTATACATGAAATTGCAATATCCCGATGTAAACGGCGATGCGCGGTTAGCGTCTAGACATACGGACAACCTTAAGACGCAATATGACGTCATTTCCGATTCTTCTTCCGGTATTCAAAGACAACAACAACAGCAGCACGCGGATAACGAATAGTTCGGGGCAGATAGCGATCGCCTTTTGCGCTTTGATGCTGGTAACATTACTGACCTCGCTCCAAAAGTATGCTGTGCTGTGTCTTGCCATGTTTACTTCCGGTATACTAAACGCGGATTTTTGTATGCATCGAGAAGTTTCTCTTCTCAAAAGACCAAGATTCTTTGTGAATAGAACATGCACAGAACACAAATCACTATGGGGATATCCCGATACGCGTTTACATGACCAAAAATTCGGGTTAGAAAAGGGGTACCCCAGATATAATATCCCGGTTTTTAAAATCTGGGATATGAGCATATTCGGGTTTTTGCCGGTGTTTACATGGCCGTTCGCGACCGGGTTATTGCTAATATCCCGGTTTTGAACGGGTTATTGGCTGCATGTAAACGTAGTCACTGTTGTACTAATATGTTGCCGATGTTGATCCGCATTTCCGTACGGAGTCGACCAGATTCAGCGTTTCCCTGACGAGCTTCAGCAGATTAAACTTTTTTTTGTTTGTTTTTTATATTTTTGTGGAGTTTGTGTTTGAGTCTGTGTTGTGCTGGAGGCAGGACGTTTTGGGGGGTTATCAGACTCCATGTCGTCGTCAGCTGAAGTACCGTTGGTCGCATAGACTGATAGAGGCTTGGGAGCGCACATGCACGTCACATCCGATGGATTTCGCAGGAAATCCGACCCAGAGACCTCGCATATAAATATGAATATTGGCCTTCAGAGGTAAAACCCGAAAAGTGGATCATTGCAATGTGTGATTACAACCCCTTCAAACACAGGCAATAAAAAAAAGTATTCATTTTATAAAAAAAGTTACATATAGGACCTTTAATGCAGATTTTTGTAAATGTATGAGTGTTTCCTGAGCCTGAATGTTCATTGTTGTTTTAATAAATGTTTTAAATTTGACCATTGAAGTTGTTTTCTTTGTTTTGAAAACTTGTTTTTAGAGTTAATTTGACATTGTTTAAGATTAATTGTTTTACTGTACTAACACCACAAAGGGAAATACTGACACTTACTTATTTGTTGCACCACAAATGGGTTCTAAGAATTTTACCTTGAGCGATTATTTTTCATTATTAAAAATTTAAATAAACTCTTCATTAGTGAATAATTAACATCAATAAGAGTTCATTTCTGATTTGTGTTAAACCGTGGTAATAATTAACACCAAACAGAGTTAATTTCCCCTAGTGTTAAACTGTGGTAACACTGTTCAGTGTAGAGCAGTGTTGAATTTTTACTCAAAATAGAGTTAATTTTTTAAATAGAGAAAATTTAAGACCACGACTAGAGTCAATGTATCACCAATTCTGAGTGGGACCAAATACACTCGGACCAAGTGGTAATTCTAACTCTTATAGAGCTAATTTAACACTGCAATATTTACTGTAAGTGCTATCAAAGTTTCACCGCACGTCTTAACACTAGTCTTGTTTAAGGAAATAACATTTAATATGAAAAACGGTGGAGTATCCCTTTAATCATTAAATATTAAACAACCAACATTGAAGGAAAAATATATTAAAACAAGTGGTATCTGCAATCAGTCGATCAATGACCTATGTCAATCAATCAAGTCCCCAAAAACAATGGTCTTCATTGTTAGTAGTATCCATTGTTTTATAATGTAAAATTTAACATGATTCTTATATTTGTAAAATTGTCCAGATACTACATCTAATAAATGCTCATACATTCTCAAAACATGCAATTTTTTGTTTTAAATAAGTAGTTTAAGACCTTTTTTTGTTCATTGAAGGCTTTTAAGGTTCACCTTTTGTTCATTGACCAGTTCACCTTTTGTTCATTGACCAGCCTGTGCTCTGCAAACGCAGCAGAGCTCAGGTGTTCACCACTGTTACGCATGGACAACTGTTGCTCAACTCTTACGCAGCAGGATTGTGCCATCTTTCATTAAATACGTCAGGTGTGTGGAAAAGCCTTTGCTATTGTATAAGCAGAAGTCCATTGGCCAAGTCTTGTTTATCACTGCTTACAAAGAGGACGAGACCCACTCAAGACTGAACCACAGCGATAAAAAACGATAAGGAGAGAATGATTGCTTAGGTGGAAGGAAATATCACATGATTACAGTGCTGTCATGATTTCTTGCAACATTTTTAAATTCATATACTCACCGTCATGATGTTACAAACTTGCATGACTTACATTCCTCTAAGGAATGCATAAGAAGATATTTAGAGGAATATGCTGGTCATGCTTTCACAATGAATGAGGGCCGAATCTTTTAAGGTCACAAAACCTAAATAAAAGTTTAGTGAATCCGACTTGTGCACTATATTTCAAGTCACCTGAATTCAAACGGTTAACACAATCAAGTCTGAATGATTTGTTCATAGATACTTGCAGAGCGTTGTAAAGATTGAAGCTAGAAACTACAGTACTTGCCCCTGTGAAAAAGAAGTGTGCTTAATTGTAAGAAATGTGCACTTTTTCACTTCAAGTACACTTCAAGTGTATATTTTTAAGAAACTGTACTTTCAGATAATATAACATTTATAGAATAAAAGGCGGATTACTTTGGCCAAGTACCCACACTTGCAGTTTTTCATGACCACTTGCCTACTTATTTCCAGAGATTGGCCAAAGTGTTCAAGTGGGCGTGACGACAGCAAGTGTTTTAAGATTTTTGTTTACTCAATAGGACACCACATTAACTGGAGTTTCATTATCAAATCTTTTGCAAAATTCATATAATCTCTGCAGTCTCTGCCCCAATAAAATGTGCAAAACTTTGTTGTACAATCAAATAATATGTAAAATCTAATTCAATTAACTTTGGAAAGTTTTCCTAGACATGAGGTGAAATCAACAATTAATCGATTACTATTTTTAAAAAATGCACTGTAAAAAGTTCAG